TCAGCTCAGCTTCACTGAAGAATCACCAAAGTGAGCAGGTCGAGCTGTTTAGATGTACAGAAACATGGCGGATAAAACGGTTTCATTAAGCAGCAGTTTGAGTCGCTCCACAGTAGGGCTGCTGCCACCGCGGTGCTCCAACAAAAACAAAGTGTGCTGCAGAGCAAAAAGAAGCTGCGTCACGTTTTCCAGTGCAGCCTGGGAAGAAGAGCCCGGGCCGCTGGCTCGGCCTCCAGCAGAGCTCAGAACCAGCGGCTCATGCCGACCCCCGGGTAGATTCTGCCCACATTAAATAAGGCCTTCTGTCAGCAGACAGGGAATTTCCTCTAAAGGAGAAAATGGTTTGCTTTTCAGCATTAAAGGAAAAATACACACTTTTACAGCTCGAGGGCTGATCAGGTTTATTTTTTCCGGTCACGGTGTGGCCCACAAATACCAATAATTTTGCACAAATAGCATTTGTCCTTTCCAGTGATTTTTAAATCAATCCACCAACATTTTTACCCCACATCTCCCCCGTGGCAGATTAATCAATCTGTTTGGTGCATATTGTAATAAAGCAAAGCCTTTTATGTCGGCCAGCTTTATCTGTGGAACGGCCGATAAGTAATTAGGTCTTAGAGTCTGCGTACCATCAATCTAGGTAAGGATCTCATTCAATTACCAGATTAGTCCAGCTATTTCAATGATCAATTAATTACGACTGATCTGATCATTTCGTTCCGGCTCAAATATTTCAATAACTTTAATTCAAATGTGTGACAGGAGCTCGTTTTAAACACCTTCCATTCAGACTTTCAATCTCCCTGCAGTGACAGATAAATTCTACACCCTGCGGTGTCGTCTGTAGCTGACTGTGTGGTGCTTTCTCAAAACAACAAAAAACTAATTCTCAGCCCTCTCTAGATCGGATGTTTGGGAGAAATTGAAATAGATCATCTAATTTTAGCCATTCCGGGAGGAAAACAACCTTTTCTTAGCAGCATGTTGCCACAGAGGCCGAGAGAAAATCTGAAAGCTGCCAGTTTGATGACTTCTAAACAAGAAATGAGGCTAACTGGGGAGTGTGGAAATGCTGCAGAGCATCAGGCTCCGTTCATGCTGCTGTAAAGCCTGCTGCTTTCCAGAGGAGGCAGAGATGTAGGAGGGCTGTTGCAACATGCCTGCTTTCCAGTTTCACCCCCCCTAACAATGTTAGCCACCCAGCAGCTCCTGTTTCAGAGTGAAACCCACTCCGGAGGCCATTTCATGAAAGCTCAGCAGGATCACATTTCCTTGAAGAAAAGAGCAAGAATAAACGTCTAAGCTACCATTAGTTCATACGCTGAGCACAGGGGTGACCGCTGTGGCTCCATTTTATCAGTCTGACCTCCTGCACTAAGATCCATGCAGATCCCCTAAACACGTGCAGCGGTGGACTTCAGTCCTCTGCCGACTCTGAGCAGGACACCCATCACCAGCGCTTCAGTTCGACACCCGGTTGCCCCACAGTCACTCTCAGCAGACCACGAGACCTGGATGTAATCTGAGCAAGGTCCCTGCCGGTGAATCAGACGCCCTTGCAGACTTATTTGGACACTGGCTGATGTCCAGCAGGCTTCATCCACTGACTGAGCTGCTAATCTGTCCCTCTGTTCATTAACGCACCACTGGTCATGCTTTCCCCTCAGAGGGGAACGACATGGTTAACGGCCAGAAACAGAGCCTTAAAACTCGGCTCACTCAGCAGAAATTGAATTAATCCAACTCATTTTGCAAGTTATATCCATTAAAAAAATGCATTTGAGCTCATGCTGTTCGATTGCTTAAAGGCTGTACATATTAACTCTTTAGAATCATTTGTTTACAGAGCCTTTCACAGCTCAGGGAACAATCAGATTTTGTTGAACTGAACCAGCAGCCCATCAGGTCCACCACGTGCATCTCTCTGAACCTCCCATGCCCTCCTCTTTTAAGGCCACTGGGCAAATCAGCTCTTAGATGCCCTGAACCAATCCGAGGAGAGGGGAGGGGAGCCTCCTCATGGCTGGAAACGTGAGCCAAGCAGAGGCTGCAGGGAATTCTGACCAACTTCTGAAGTAAAATCTTCAGCTTTTGGAAGGATTTGGCTGAAATGCTTCCATTTCTGGACTTTAACAGAACAGTAAAACTAAAGAAAAGTGCAGTTTTTTTTTAGAAGCCCGAAAGTAAAAATCGAGATTATAGGATTAAGGAACAGAAAGAAAAACAGAATAAAACAGGGCATTAAATGATCCCAGAGCGGCTTATTAGGCTATTCTATAATGATTAGAGTTATAGTGATCATTACCCAGAGTCTAATGAAGGCAGAGCACATGCTAACCGCCCCCCCCCCCTCACACACATTGAATGACGCAGGAGAAATAACCTCAACCATAAACCAGACTGTTCAAAGTCATTTATACAGCAGGATAAATGAAAACAAACTAGTTTTTTTATAAATCTTTTTTTTCTTTTTGGGCATATTTAATCCGAACAAACAGCAACGAGACGTTTCTATGAGGGGGGTGACGTAGCTACACGAGGAGCTCTGCGCTGCTGAAGTTGGCATCTGATTTGTCACCCTAGTAAAGGGCTGTTTCACCATTTTTTTTAAATTAACCTGATCTCTTCCAGCTCAAAATGTGAATTAATTTTCAGATTAAATCTGACCTGTAACGAGGTAAACTGTTACTTTAATGTAACCATTTTAAACCCATGTATAAAGGGCTTAAAAATGGGAATAAACAACCTACATTAGAGCAGACAGGTGAGCGTTGAGGCAGTTTCTGACTTCTTTAAAGCACAGAAGCCAATACAAAACTAATTCTACCGTTAAACAATCTAGCTTAAACGAGTTCCCCGATTATTTATGATTTAAATGCCCAGTTTTGACCCTTTCTTTGAGGCTCGGTTTGAAGAAGCTCCGAATCTGAAGTCAATTTCAGCCTTAGCTCCAATAGAGGGTTAATAAAATGCACCAATCCCGCCTGATTTCTACATAAAGATGAGCAGACATGCCAACGGATGGATCAGTCATTTAAAGCAGCGCAGTGATTCGGGGCTGAAGGAGAATAATGTCAGCGGGACAGCGGTTCAGGTTAGCGGAGCCTTACAGGAAGTAGGAGCGATGGTCGGCTACTACCCTCCGTCCACCTGCCGCTTCACCGAGCTTTTTAAAACCGCAGAAACTCTGTTAGCAAACATAAAAATAACCGAGTAATAGAATGTGGAGAAGTGGTCAAATTCAGAGTATTTATAATGAATGAGCTTCGGTTCGCAGTGGGGGGGTTAAAGGGGGAGGTGTTAGCTAGCCGCTGCTAGGGGCTGAAAGGCCGGAGAATGCCCTGCTCTCCACTTTCTGCCCCCATGACGCATTTAAATACATCCACCGCAGACCCGTCCACACATTCATCACATCTGAACCGACACGGTAAAAAGGAGCCAAACCTCGGGATGGAGCGGAGGTCCCCGGTTCCTTTGGTTTCGTCCTGACGAGAGAACCACACCTCCAGCAGCTTCTCGGTCCCCTCGAAGAACTGTGCACCGTTATCCTCCATCATGAGACAACAGACACCCAACAGAATTATCAAAACGTCACTTACAACGTTTTAAGCTTTTTTTTTATTATTATTAATCTTTCCTCGATTCGCTATAATTTATTGAGGTTCAGTCCTTAAAGCAATCCAGATGTTAATTATCTTGAGTTACCGCCTTCCCTTTTGCAGAGAATACCGTTAGCGAGTGCTAGCTAATATCGCCGGCCATACTGTGTAAAGCGCTGAATGAAATGCGTGAGTTAGTTTTATACCCAATCTACATTACGTCACCGACAGCGTCAAGCCAATCTGACAGCAGAACTACTCGCTGGGTTTTATGATTGGTCCAAGGATGTATCAGTCATGGCGGAAAGAGGGTTTTCCTCACGTGGCTTTCTACCGTTGCTAAAACTTACGACGACACGCTTTTATTATTATTCACATGACATAACATCAATGAGCAGATATTATAATTTTCTATCTTTCTCTCCCTTTTATTTCATATGTTAAAAGTTTTTTTTTCCACTGCGTGTGGTGTTGTGTAGTTTACTGTTTTAATCTACGCATAAAGTTAAAAATGTATTTAGAAATCAGCTAAAAAACAATGTTTATAAATTTACACCATGTCCGAAAATATTTTTTATTCATGCAAGGATTTTGTAATGTTGATTCAAAACATCTCTTTATTCCCATATCATAATACAGTTTTAAAGCAGTACATTACAGTACCCATACAAATAAAAAATATGACTAAACCCTAATGGGAAAATGTTATTCGAAAAGTTATTTTATTGTCTTACAGATCTATCTATCTATCTATCTATCTATCTATCTATCTATCTATCTATCTATCTATCTATCTATCTATCTATCTATCTATCTATCTATAATAATACTACTAATATACTATCAAAAATAATAATAACAAATAAAAATATAATAACAATAATTATTATTATAATTGTTATTATTATTATTGTTGTTGTTAATATTATACTAGTGTTATTAGCAGTAATAATAATAGTTACTAGTAATAATAATAATAATTATTATTATTGTATGAATATAATTATATTATATACTACTACTACTAATAATAATAACAATAATAATAATAAGTATATGTGATTATATTAATACAATAATAATCATAATTAAATTATAATGGCATAAATTATAATAATATTTATTAAAAATAATAATAATCATTTTTAGTATTATTCATATTATTTATATTATTATTTTAATAACTAATAAACAAAAAACTCCTATGTCCCAGCTAGATTTTTAAAACAGCGTTCGAGGGTACGCAAAGTGTAATAAACCGCAACGAGAAACGCGGTTTGTAGTTTTTAACATCTTCTGTTTCACCGTGAGCCAGCGGCGGTGGCTGCCTGGCAAGACTACGTTACCCAGAATGCCGCGCGCCCCAATTAGAAACGTCAACGAGCCAGTGAACATTAAGCGGAGCAGACCAAAATCCCAAACAAGGAAATGGTGGGGGAATAAAACGACCAGATTATTTAATTAATGCATGTAATAATTAATATTTTATTTTATTGTAATTTAAGACGTATTTATGGGTTAAAATGGATTACGACTTCAAAACAAAGCTGGCAGCCGAGAGGGAGAGAGTGGAAGATCTGTTCGAATATGAAGGTTGCAAAGTGGGTCGAGGCACCTACGGGCACGTTTATAAAGCTAAGCGCAAAGACGGGTAAGACAACCGTGGTCGGTATTGTTCGCTCTGACATTCGCCTCATTGCAGGATGCGTTTCGGGAGTCCTGCTGTGTGTTGAACGCAGCGTTAGATTTGAACCTCCCCGAAGCGATAACCCTGTGTGTGTGTGTGTGTGTGTTTTTGTTTTCATGTAACGCACGCGCTCACTCACTCACCAACGGTCTCCCCCTACACACACACACACACACACACACACACATGCGCGCGCGCTTACTTCCTCCCTCCGCCACTACTCCCCCCGCCTGAAAGCATTGATGATGTTTGTTAGTGTTAGCGGTGGTAGCTCGGTGTGCTGCCTGGCACCGCGAGGGACAGGTTTCAGTTAGCCATAGCAAACTTTGTTTACACACACAGTAGATTATTAAGCACTTATTTTATTCGCCATCACTCTGAAGAAGAACATCAGCGCTTATGGGGACATGCTGGGCTGATTCTAGGACCAGAGGGGTGCTGACAGGGGCGGATTTAGGGAATTTTGGGCCCTAGGCAAAGATAGGCAGGGGGCCCCCTGAATTGAGAAGACAACACACAAAACAGACCAATTACACAGATACATACATTTTAATAGAATAGATTTTTTCTTCTTGTTTTCCTCTCTATGTTTTGTACTCAGCTGACTTTTCATGCTGTCTCTAAAGGAATGAAAGATTTTTTCCAAGCACTAAGCTCACTTAGCTGATTGCTCCTTCCTGTGTTTCCAAAAAGGCCAAAGTAAATAACCCAGTCCTTCTTTTCACTGTAGACAAGCCATGATCTGCTTCTCTGTTCTCCATTTTTCATTTGGATGAAATAATAGCTGCATGAATCATGACAGCAGACAAGATAAAGGAGAGCAGGAGGCGGGGTTACCAATCTACTTGCTCTGGAGAGCAGAGTTCGCTGCTTTTAGATGTTGTCTCCAAAGTCTCCAGTAGCAGAAAAAAAAGGAACCAGATTTGGCGCTAGGAGCTTTTTGAAATCAAAGTGCTAGAGGGGTCTGAAAATTCACTAAATAAAGTGACAAAAGCGCTAAGTTGGCAACACTGCTCTATGCATCGTTTGTTTTCAAATGGTTTGCTGCTGTCTGTTTGGACCTTTCTGAACATGGGCAGCAAATGGACTGATCCAATATGGTGGACACTGAAGGGGGGGGCTTAATATTATAAGCGTTCTGATGGCATTTTAGCGAAAGGATCTAAAACATAATGTGCAAAAATAAGGAATAGTTGTATTAATCAGTTATATAAACAGAGTTTTATGGGGCCCCCAGGAACTTGCGGCCCTAGGAAACTGCCTAATGGTAAATGAGAGCTGTCTGGCAGAGCAAGATTATTTCACTTCTTTATGAACATATTTTTCAAACTTGTTCAGTGCATTTTGCTAATAACTGACTCCATTATTCACTAATGCATTGTATCTGAGATTTGTGCCAAAAACCCAGAAGATTCAGGGGGGAGACCCATCAGAAAGACCCCCGACTTATTGCTGCAAGGCAGCAGTGCTACCCACTGCCCCACTGAGCAGCCTCTAAAAAAAAAATCAGTGATAAATCCCCTATAAAGCTCTTGTTTCCTATTTGATTATTAAAGCAACACTGTCTACATTTTAGTCACTGGGAGCACAAAGACTTGTAACCTCAAGGTTTCACACTGCACTGGAATTTGCCATCAGATACTTTAGCCTTACAGACTGGGATATCATGGAGGAAACGCCCACTCTGATTTAAATCCTAAATCAGAGAACCAAAAATGTGTCTGATAATAATAATTGAACTTTATTGATCTCACATTGGAGAAATTGACCTCTGCATTTTAACCCATCCCCGTGCGGAGAAGTGGGCTGTCATCGTGCGGCATCCAGGCAGCAGTGTGGGGTTAAGGGTCTTGCTCAGGGACCCAGAGTGCAGGCTGTAGGTATCAAACCGGGTACTTTCAACCTCCTCAGAGCACAAGCGCACTGCTCTAACCTCTTGGTCAACACTACCCACAACAAAATAGGTTCAGATCTGTTTTGTTGCACAAAAACAACTATTAACTTATTTAGTTTGTGTTTAAAGGAAGTTCAGACTGCTGTAAAGCAGCACCCTGGGTCACATGATCCTCTACAGTTGCATACAAGCTGCAAAGCGATGCTCTGATGAGGCTTTTCATGAAAGCATGGAACATGACTGTAGTAGTGGCATAAAGCGTTTTGGAGACCCCTCTTGGTAATTTATTTGGGTTAAAGGTATTGATTGGATTTAATCACCCAGAATCCCCGTTACTAGCTTAGATGTTTTGTCCATAATATTGCTCCACTCTGTTTCCTCTCAGCACATTCAACATAAACATGTTTTATTCTTATTCTGCTTTATAGACCAAGAGAAAGAGGTAAAAATGATGAAGTGGAAGTATGACGGTGGGACATACTGTAGAAATCTGAAGATGACTTGATGGGACATCTGGTGCAGAAACTGTTTAAATTTAATGCCTACAATATATATATATATATTACTTCTTATTTTTGATGTATTTTCTCCTACAAAGTTCAGCTTCTTTATTTCACTGAGGATTAATCTGGCCTTTCAGATTAAGCGCTCCATCCCACACTTTGTAACTGTGGTAGCAAAGTTGATAATAACCCCAGCAAACGTCATAGCTTAAATACACCAAACAGAAAACATCAGTGTTTCAGATTAAACAGTTTGAGTGACAGAGCGCTGCCGTGGCATTAGTATCAGTCTGTGTCCTCAGCCAAAGCTTTTGGTCCTTCTGGGACACCATTGACTGATGAGAGAATTTAAGGTTTGCTTTGTGTAGCTCAGTGTCAGCTGCAGGTGGCCTTTCATTAAAGTGTGAGGAAAGTGTCAAGGTGATGTCAGGTCAGGAGTGAACACAGTGAGAGCAGCAGCAGCTCTTTTCTGCTACCAGTGGACACTGACAGGCTTTCCCTTTCTATGTAGTAACCAGTTACACTTGAAAAGGCCCTTTATTCTCTCTAGATTTACTGACTGACTATTACTAGATTTAAAGGAAATAAAAACCTCTTTAACTCCTCCTGGTCAGTAGGTGGCGTACTCATATTTGACCGGTTTTATTACCACCTTCAGTTTTAGGCTATTGTTTGACACATAGGCCTTTTCTTAATTCACTAGAACGCAAGTACGGACTCATGTTCTCGCCAAGTATGTTCTAGAGAAGAACACAGAGGACTCTATGATGAAGCTGCTAAAAAAAGTCTCATCTTTTGCGTTTTATCATTAAAATTATCAACAACTTTGGAGCAACCTAAAAGGAATAGGAATGTTTCATCGGTTTCGTTTTTATTTAAATTATCTTGTCGTGTCATCCTTTTCCTCTGTTATCGCTCAACTTATCTGAATTAAAGTTAATTTCAAATTGACTCTTAGTTTATTTACTGTTTTTACTCTACCTATTGTTTAAAATTATGGTTTAAAATCTTAGTCCACAAGCAACCTCATTCACATTTTCCCCTAAACTTTCACGTTATGATACTCCTCAAATTAAGGGTAAATACACTTGATTTAAGAGATTTTTTTACTTATTTCTAGGTCGTTTGGCAGTGTAAAGAAAACCAGGGCAGATGCTTCCATTGGAATCTGTTATCCCCCATGTGGACAAACAGATATAAAGATATTTAACATGAGGAAAAGACTTCTATAAATGTGATTAAAACATAAGTTTTGGTTAAAAAAGGTTCTATGATCCTTTAAACATGTTTGTTCTCATTTCATTTTTTCCCTCAGTGGAACTGCTTACCTTTTCAATTTACTGTAGAGGCTCACTATATCAAATCTGAGCCTTCTGAGTTGCCGTAAAGGGGCTTTTAGGGAAGCTGCCTCACCTTTAATGCCTCACCGTATCTCTCCTACCTGTAAACTCTTTAGTGAATGACAGGTCACACATATGTTGACATCTATTCAGAGATGAATCCATAAAAAGTGATGTTTTGCTTTCCGTCCAGAAAGCTTTTTCAAATCAAAATGTCAGAAATAGCGTTGAGTTCAAGGCTTTATACCGTAGCCCAACAAGGCTTGGTAATTGAACCAGACTAATGGGTCCGCCCCTTTGAATGGGCTCCTGGATGGGAAGTGAAACGTCTTCAAACTTGGAAACAAAGTCCAATGGATTGTTTTTTTTTTTTTTACTTTTTTGGAATGACTGTGACCTGGATGACTGAGAATCTTCACTAGCATAAATAAAGGCTCCAATGATGTTCATGCAATGGCAAACATGTGATATATAGAATCTTAAAAAGACTTTATTATTATTGATTATTATTTATCACACCTCCAATGCTATGCAGATCTTTCCTAGGAGTAAAGATGATGTCTTATTGTAGAAAATAAACTGGTCACTGTCAGTTTGATCAGTTCAGTTTGTTTTAGCTGCTGTTTATCATCTTATTTTAGCCTTTCTAGCTGTGTAGGAATGTCTACAAATGTTTATATTTTCATTCTCCTGGGATCTATACTCTCAGGAGGATACAAGTGTTTGTTATTCTCTTGAGAGTATAAATCTTTAATGCTGAGATTACAAAAAGCCCGTCGATATTTTCAAAGCCAGCCTCTTGCACGAAAGAGAGATCTTAAAGGCTTAAAAGGGTAAAACTGTCAAAGTTTACTGACATCCTCTCATCCTTCCTTATATCTGCTACAGCTTTTCTTTCTGCTTCAAAGGAGGTTTCCTTTATAAACACAGTTGTTTTGTCTTCACTCGATAGCCAACTTTGACTTTTTTTCTTCCCCTCAGCCAGTGCAAGAAGACTTTTGCACTTGGTAAAATCATGATAATTATCTTCTCTAAACATTAAGTCTTCCAGGTACTTTGTGTGTCTGCACTGGCAGATTGCACTTATTCTGAGTCGAATTTTCTCAAAACAAAATGAATATTTGAAGAGAATTTGCTCTTGCTTAGTATATCAATATCATTAGGATAATTATCATTGATGATGTGTGAGGTTATTACACCTTAATTTGCTGCCTGTTGTGCGTCAGAACTGATGTTTTCCCAAATAGTTTATCTAATTAGGTCATTTCCTCTGTCCGTATATATACAATGGATTGTCATTCTGTACGTGGCAAATATTTGTGAATGGAATGAGAGTCGTGTCCTTCAGCTAACAACAAAGTGTAATATGTTGATAAGGCTGGAGCCATGGATGTCGCTTCATCTACTAATGTGTCTGATATACGAGGGGCGTTCAATAAGTAATGACCCTGGCCCACTTCCAGATGTTTGATCGAGCTGAAATTTAGCATGTGAAGTATTTTAAATCTCTATAGATTAAATAGCAAATTACAGCTCTGAAGTAATTGAAGTTTCTGGTTACTGGTGTCTGAGTCTGAGTTTTTGTATTTGAAAGGACGCACACAATGGGAGACTTTTGAACAAATTAAAATAACTTGTAGTAATAATGTCGCATAATATAACCTTGTAAAACATTTTGCAAGGTCATATAACGTGCATCATCACCATAAGTTACTTTAATTTCATCAAAAGTCTCCCGTGGTGTGATTCCTTTCCAATAGAAAAACCAGATCACTGCTCGACACTCAACAGGCTCCATTCAGACTTTACTCAGTTCAATCACCTGTAAGTCAGAAACCACAATTAGTTCAGAGCTGTAATTTGCTACTTAATCTATAGAGATTTAAATAATGTCACATGCAATATTTCAGCTCGATTAAACATCTCGAAGTGGGTCATGGGCATTAGTTATTGAACGCCCCTCGTATGTCATGGGTACTTGTTGATGCCATTAAAACGATTTCTTAGAGCATAAAAAAACATTAAATTAGAGTTACTCATTCCTGTATAAACCCTGTTATAATTTCTATCAAAGTCTGTTTTCATGTCTCATTGTTATTTAAAACATATGAGTTATGAGTGATCTTTTTCAGGAAACCCATCCAGAGAGAGAAAGTTTGAAGGTGTAAACACAGAGCTTACCTTTAACAATATCTAAACAAAAAACCAAAAAAACTATCTGGCTGACCTTAGACTGTCGGTTAGATAGACTTTTTCTGCAGCACCCTCTCTGAACATTTTCATTTAGACTGGTTGAGTCATATGTTACGTTTATTATTGAGATTTTAAAAGTGCAATAAAATCATCCCAGGTTTCTGATATCCTAGCATTTCATATAATATAGAAGTCTCTCTGCTGGAGGTGTGCTTTACTAATCTAGTTACACTCAGGTTAGGTCGCTTCTTTATGGAAAGGAAACAGATTAGAAATCCCCTTGTTCCTAGAGTATTGGATCTCTTTGCCTTTGCCCTGCAGAGTGAGGAATAAAGCATTTCATGTTTAGAATCTGCTTACACAAGGTGAGCTGGTTTTCTTTCCAGACCAACAGATGAAATGTGAGGAGTGTCTGTGCTGCTTAGTGTCAGCCCAGGGCGCCTGAGAGCTTCTTTTAAACCGTGTCCGTCTGAGATGCAAATGAACCTGAAGAGGGTTTTGATGTGAGCCTCACCAGGAAACGTTTTGATCTGTTCACGCTCCACACTCTGGATGCTTGTTTTCAATTTACTGGAGTCTCTTGGCTCTGGTTTTAATGGGCTGTCTCTCCTTTTCGGCCTGATTTGAAACCTGTGGCGCTAAACACAGGGATGCTGCTCAGTTCAAGGCGTCCCTGTTCGCCTGCTGAATCTGCTCTGTATCTGATTCATAAGGGAAAATGGGGACAACAGGGAAATCTGCCAACTGAGTGGCATTGAGGCCAGTGTGCAGGTTAAGTTTCTGTCTTTGCATCAAGGACGAATGCAGGCCAGTGATCCTCATCAGTGGCATTTGAAGTCCTGCATGGAGAGAAAGTCTCCTTCCTCCTGTTAGAACAACTTCTACCTTAATGACCAAATGCTCCAAGGCCCAATCAGGGAACAGGGAGCATTTCAGATCTGCTTTTCTTAAAGGTGAAGATAAAAGGCAACAGATGCCAGCTCCTCCAATGCTAACCTTTGGTTACTAATGGCAACCTTTGTTTAGCTTTAGCAAATTATAATTTAGCAAATATAGCACCCAAACAGCCCTCTGTGATTCCAGCACTATACAGGGAAACAATTCAAAGCTAAAAGTGATGTTAATATTGAATCTCAGGCTACGTTCACACCTAAAGCAGCTGGTTTACATGCAAAGTCAATGGTTGACGCGCAGCAAAATATCCTGCAGTGCGTCTGAACAGCAGGAGCAGCGCCTTACGAGCTTCTGAGCATCTGACGCATGGGACACGCTGCAAAAGCAGCAGCTGCTTGAGTTGGAAAAATTTTACTTTTGCTGCTGGAGAAGCATATCTGGGAGCTGGCAGGGAGACAGATACAGCACTGCTGAAGCAGAGCGCTATGATCAAACCTCTGAAACAGTTTATTAACGCCTTAATTAACTTAAAATGTCGAAACCTGCCGTCAAAATATGTTTGCTTTTACTATTCTGGTTCTAGCAGCTTGGATTACGTACGTGAAAAACGCTAACATCTACTTCCAGCTGCCGTTAACAGAGGCTGCTGTTGAACGGGATTCCCAGTGACAGCGCGCTGCCGGTGTACGGGGTCTGATCGGCTCCGACAGAGAAATAATATTGGAAGGTAGGATGGTAATCTGGATGAACTGACTGCATAGATGAAGTTTTCAGGCGGACTTTCTCACTGAAAAACATTAAAACTGGTTTTTACCCACTGATCACAGCAAATATAGCTGCCATTGTTCCAGGCAAAGAAAGGATAGAGTAGCTCCGCCAAACGCGCATCAGACCCACTTTACCACCGTGTAGCCGGAGCAGCAAAGATGCTTCAGCCGCGCGTCAGAACTAAACTTGTACAGGCATCAAGCTTCTGCTGCTTACGGTCTGAACGTAGCATTACACTCATAATCGACTTCAGTCGAGTTTCAGACAATAATCCCAGGTTTAAACAGTGAAGAACCCTTTAAATGTTTCCGGTTTAAAAACTAGCTGCTGTTTTATTGTGTTCAGATGTTTACTGCAGCAGTTTTAGCTTTTTGAGGTGAAATTAATTTATTATTTCACATCATTTGCCTTTTCATCACCTTCTACTGAGTTTGAGCTGTTTTCCTTCAGGTTGCATTGCTGTAAATGATGTGGATTTCTCAGTAAAACCCCACTAGGATACTACATTCTCTCATTGGGTGTTTGTGTGAATGCCACTTACATTCATGTGAGATTTTTCCACACGAGGGGATTGTGCAACTCTGCCCTCTAATAACAAGACTCCTCCTTTCTGCTTTTCTCCCCACAGGAAAGATGAGAAGGAATATGCACTGAAACAAATTGAAGGCACTGGAATCTCTATGTCGGCCTGCAGAGAAATTGCTGTAAGTCACAGTTTTTTTTTTTATTATACCAAGGCGATGATGTGAGAAGATTTCCTCCCTTTAAGGAGACCCTGCTCCTTTGAATCTCCCACTATGGAGTCAAACATCTAAGTTTTAAACCCCCCTGTGGACATGCATTAATACCTCTGAATAGGAACTACTGTCTTTTAGTGTTAATTGTTGAATGATTTACGATATCTGATGATTTATACTATAGAGATGAGATCTGTGATATTTTTAACAGCTGCACCTAATGTTTGAAAATAAATCAATAGGAAATAAATCTGATAAAATGTTCAGTGGTTCCATTTGATCCAGAACCATGTGGTGTTCTAGTGGAGAAGGTCAAAGGAAGGATTTACTCTCTACAACTTTCACAGCTAAACTAAGGCAGCTTGGTCATTAGGGCCGACTGGTTTCTAAAGGCTGATTTTTTTATTATTTTTAAATAGTGTTAAAATTAGTGTTGCACCGATACCAATACTAGTATCGGGCGATCCAGCCAAACGTTTATTCAACTATTGTCACCCATTCCAGGTAGGCAATAAAAAGTTTTATATTAGTCTTTTTCCTGCTTCACAAAGGTAGGCAGCAGCTTGACAAAGCCATGAAGGCAATTATTTTACATCCAAGTCGTATGCAGTTCTTCATATATAAACACACACATCAATTTCAGACACATGGCATCGATATCGGCCGATACTGCACAGCCGGGTATCGTGTATCGGTATCGGGTCCAAAAAAATGGCATAGGCGCAACACTAGTAAAAAAATTAAATTCTGGCTTATACTTCTTGTCCTTTTTATTTAGGTAGTTAATAAAACAGTACTTATTATCAATGCTGAATAATATAAATGACTTAAATCATGGTAGATTTTTTTTGCCATATTACACGGCCCTACATAACTGCACTGCATTTTTGAATGAGAAACATATTTAATTAGAAACTAAATTTGAATTGTTTTGACTCAGTCTGTATTAGGGCTGGGTAAAAAAAATCTATTTAATTGATTTTGGTTCGATTTCTTTAGATCTTTGCAAAATCGATGTGTAGGGAATGAGATTGATTAGTTTCATAGTGACGTTCACATGTGCAAATGCCGACCCAAGTAACACACTGCTCAGCAAGCTGTCCCAACTGAAGTCTCATATCTGGGACCATTTTAGATTTAAAACGGCTAAAGATAATGTGATGGATATGTGACATTAAGGTGACTTCCCACTACATTGATAATGAGTGGCGCCTTGCATCTCGTGCTACAGATCACCAAAATTATTCAAGCCAGACAGCTGCAAATATAGCCAATAGGTCGACTGAAGACATTAACAAATGGGGGCTGAGCAGCAAACACCCTGTAGTTGTTACAGACAACGCTGCTAATATGGTTTGTGCAGGGAAGATAATGCAGTTCATGCATGTCTGCTGTGACCCCGCTGTGTCACGTCTGCTTGCTCGAGTGAGGCTTCACTTTTTCACTTTTCACAAACAAGTTTGCACTTATTAGACAGTTTGCACTTTGTGTTTAATATGACAGGAAAAAATTTAATACATGAGTATTTTCAAACACAGTTGAACCACTTTCATTATTGTAAAAACACATCGAATTGAAATGAATCGTTTTAGAACTGTATGAATCAAAATCGAATCGATTCAGGACTTGGGCCAAAATACTCAGCTCTAGTTTGAATGCATGTTCTCATTCTGATGTAGTCTGAAATGAAATGCACTGGTCTGATAAGGAATTTTACCAAACTGTAACTGAAATCATTTGCTTTGGGAATTCAGTTTGTCTATTTTTCCTTTTAATTCAGTTTTATTTAGAAAATCAAGTTAGCATTTTCTGATGACACAAGTTTCTGCCAAAATTTGTAGCCTCTTATTCTTATTTTATATTTGTTTATTTTTTCTTGTTCCTCTTATTTTGCTGAATCCCTCCCCTATTCTATTCTATTCTATTCTATTCTATTCTATTCTATTCTATTCTATTCTATTCTATGTTTTTACTGATGAGGAGAATGTTTATATTTGTTGACTCTTATTACGGGACAGTGTATGGAGGTCTGTTCTATGTCGATCAGCTGATCGACATAGAACAGGACTAAAGTTAGCTTTGGCCTTATTTCTATATTCTGTAAACTCTAAATATCTGGCTTTGCAAATGTTCTAAACATTAATTCCAGTGTCACAGTAAAATAAAAAATCCTGTTTCTCTGACATCCTTTAATCTTAGTTGGTTTATTTGTTTATGGCAGAAATCCCAGCTTGAGAAGTTGCTGTTTTTGACAAAATCCTTTTCAATCCACTTTTTAAAAAGTCTGACGGGATTCTAATCGGCACTGTATCGTGGAAAAGAAATAGAATAGAATAGAAAATCCCTTTATTGTCCCAGAACGAGGAAATAATGCAGTTTCAGCACCAAAACAACAGGCATCATATTTAAATGGTGACACAAATAAAGACAGAATAAAATGCAAAAAGGTTGAAAAATAAAAAAAATACTGTACAGTAAGGGAAAAAAGAAGTTTTGAATATGAATTCTGTGCAGTCATATAAAAGAATAAATAACCCAAATATACAGCTGTGGATATTTTTGACATTAGGGGGATATAAGAAATGGCAGCAACACAAAATAACAGCAGCTTTTTAATTAAAGTGACCAAAATAAGGAAATATGCAAAAATAAGCTTGAGTGTTAATATTTATTTTGAAAACTCATCCTATTCCTGCTGTACATGGTGGAGGGTCTGTGATGCTGTGGGCCTGTTTCACTTCCAAAGGCTGTAGGAACCTTGTTAGAGAGCATGACATCATGAAGTCCCAGTAATCTGCTGCCAGTAAACAGAAAGGAAGCCACTATGACATCATCCAGTACGATATAGATCCTAAACAACCGAACAAATCCAGATGATCATCCCCGTCCCTAAACCCTACAGAAAAGCTCTGGGCTGAGCTAAAGAGATGAGAGCATGAGGCTCCAGGACTCTGGAGAATCTGAGAAGGAAGATGAAGAATCAAAGAGGCCTCGCTCTGTTTGCTCCGACCTTTTATATTGTAATAGAAAACTGCAATCCATGCACAGCAGGGATACACTGCAGAACAGGAACTAGGAATTAGTAAAATGTTTTAAAGTAGGTGCATTTACCGTTCATTTAAACAGGTAAATATGATGATTTGCCAACAGAATGACTTAGTTTGCCTTTAAAATAAGATCATTAGATGCTATGCACTTTAAATAGGATATTTATGGAATATTATCTTATATGAAAAACATTTCATTCCATTTGCAAATTGTTCTACCAGCTCAAATCAATGAAAAATACACTCAATATGCTTATATTTCAACTTTTACAGTATAGTAACAGTTCTACTGATATAGGCAGAAAACTAAAACCATCTGCTCACATAAAAACTTATTGTTTGTACATTTCTATGAGAAATCTGAGACGTTTCCCACATCTCAACCAATAAAGAGTCACTTGGGCAACAGTTGTATGTAACACTACCTCCATTACTGAGTGAAGCTAAACACCAAGTAATGTTTAATCACACAGGCTGCTGAGGTCAAAAGTCTGGAAATTTAAGGTAGTTGCACAACGAAGGCCCCGTCTTCTGTAGCAGACCAGCTGACAGTGCAGCTCATGCAACATGTCCGCTGAGACAAAGGTGTGTTGCAACTGCAGTGCCCAGCTCACTGAGGCGTCGTCTCCTCGGGAACCGGACCTGTTCTGCAACTGTGAGCAGGGAGTTCTTCGGTTGTACAGCCGTAGAAACCTGTTGGTTCATGTGTGTCTGTGGCTCATTTACAGGAAGTTTGAGCCTACCATGCTGGACAAAAACAAGTGGTTTATTTTATTGACTAAGGCTGCAGCAGCTGCCCAGCGCTCACCTTTGATTCCAGTATCTCAATAAACCACTAAACCCATAAAGCTTCACACACCGCAGCTTCTTATCCTGAACTTCCATCTGTGATTAGTTGGATACCTGGTCTGGTTCGTATCTGATCACTAAACAATAAAAACTAATCATTTAGCTGTTTCCTTCTAATAGAGCAACACAGCAAAGCAAAGATTTACCAGTTAATTAGTCAGGCTATCAGCTCAGGTAGCTTCCTCACAGATATGCTCTTGGTTTGTAATCCAGCAAGTACTACTACAGCTGCCATCCTTTGATAATAGGGTTTCCTTAACAGAAAGACAGCAATCCACTCTTTTTTCTCACAAAAATGATTCCCAGAAAGTTTATTCTTTTGATCACTGCTAGACATTATAAAGGGAAATGTGCATTTCACTGTTGCACTGCAAAAATGATCTAGAAGGAAGTAAAAAATACTTAAATTAAGTGTTTTTAGCCTTAATTTGAGTTGGTAAATCAGAAGATCTGCCAAATTTGAACATATTCACTTGAAATAAGACAATGCAGTTACTTTTTCTTATTTCAAATGTAAACTGTCTTATTCCACTGGCATTGCAAGTGTCCCACTTACCTCATAAATTCAAGAAAAAATGCATTTATTTGAAGAAAAAAGGCCTTATTGAGATTAAATTTCTTTGCAGTGGGAAGCGGCTCATTAACTGTTGAAAAGCTGTATGGATCGTTTTTGTCTACACTGTGTATACAAGATGACAATAAAGTTAGTCTAAGTCTATGTCTTATTAAAGGAAAAGTCCGGTCATATTCAGAATTCAAACTTCTGAAAGTTCTTTAAATATGAAATTATTCCATACTGTTCAATAAATGATCAGTGTTTTTAATTAAGAGTAATTTTCATCTGAATGTGCTTTACTGGAGGCATCCATGTTTGTCAAAGAACACTACTGCCACCTACTGGTTTGTGACGTCACGGTGCGGTAAGCCTAGCGCCATTCTCCCCGCTTTACAA